CCCCACTGTTTCGGAATTGGATTTGTTAAAGCTTGTTGTTGATTTGGATGTTTAAAGCTTGTTGCTCGATTGATGCTTCTTGGAAGCCCTACAAAGCGTATAAAAAGCAGGCAGAAGGGCAGGAAGGGATGAAACATCAGCGAGAACATCGGGGGGAACATCGGTGAAGAACATTGGGAAAACATTGAGGGAACATCGGAAGACATGAAGAGAGCTGTAACACTAGGTGTGCTGAGTCTGCTGTAGAAGAATAAAGGCTGTTCTCCGACTCTTCGTGTGCCGCTCGGTTCTTTCCCTGGTCAAATGAATAAGGGCTGTAACACTAGCTGTACACACTGCCGCAACAATCTGTCTCACTCTGACACCTGGCAGCCCCCATCCCCGGGCAGAGCCACACCTGCACAACAGCCACTGTCCACGGCCAGCCCAGAGCTGGGCTCCACCCTCCTCTGCTCCAGGCTCACTCAGTGCACTTGGGCTTTCTCCTAATCATGAGTCCATGTGTTCTCCAGAATCACAAATTCACCGTCCTGAAGACTCCACTGTCCTGATCTTCCCTCTCCAGGAAGTCACTAGATTTCATCTTCACGTCATGCAGGACGTGTCTGGTTGCCTTGGGATGCTCAGGTTGCCCAAAATTACACTACCCTCCCTCCCTTAGAGCTACACCCTGTAAAAAAACAAACAAAAAAACACACGCTATCATCACAGGGAAAACAAGTTTTGTAAAGTTCCACCACACGCTTGGTGTGCCTTTCTATTTTTGAGGATAGATTTACAGCCTCTAAAATGAGCTTTTTAATATATATTTATAAGAATTATAGAAGACCATGATCTTTATGACTTCAGACTTGTCATTCCTGGCAATATGGAACACTAGAAACATTTTAAAATCTTCCTGCCAAAAAGGACCTGTGTGCATTGGATAACATAATACAAACATCCACTCAAATGCACAGCAGGGCTCAGTAAAAAGGAAAAGAACTCTAGAGACAGAAAACAAACAGGGAAACTGAGGAGAGCATTGGCCCACGGGGCAGCCCAGTGGGGCACAACCAATGTCATCATCCAGAATTTGAGGCTTCATGCCAGTCAGGGACAGGAGTTGAGGTCAGAGCATGCAAGAAAAGAGGGTTGAAATTAAGACGCCTCTCTCAACACGGCGCCGGTCCATGTGCTGCCCCTCCAAGAATAGACGAACTATAGCAAAAGCAGCTCACCAAGAAACAAACGTATTGGTCTTGGACTGGGCTTGCAGTATTAAAGCAACTTCCGAAATTTTAACCATTAGGACTTTCTTTCAAATAGCATTTGGGCTTTGAACTGAAGCTCATCAGAGGAGGCCAGGATCCCCAAACTAAAAACGTTTATACAGGAAGTGGTACCAGCCTGGTGATTTCTTTATCGCGCTTTATATGAATAGCAGCATCAGGCACCAAAAACTTCAGGGTAAATGAACTATTGAACAGCGTTAGAAAGAAAATAAGTTTAAAGTAATTATGAACACAAAGTAATGTGAAGAATATAAAAAGTACAATGTACTCACTAAAACGAATACAAAGATGTGAAAGGGGATGAGAATTTGGAGAGCTCGTCCATCAGTTCTGAGAAGTTATACAATGCCCGATCTCAAAACAGCACTATTGCTCCCTCCCTCTTCCCTTCTTTTCTTCCATTCGCTCATTTTCCCCAAAGTGAAAAGAAGAACACAAATCCACGGGAACCACAGTGAGATACTAGCACACACCGGCCAGGATATCCAAATTAACACTAACAGCACCAAGTACTGCAAAGACAGTGAAGCAACCAAATTTGGCATTACCCATTATTGTTGGTAAGAAGTACAAAATGGTACAACCGTTTTAGAAAAAGGACCGGCAAGAGCTTTATTGCAAAACGGCCACTCCCGCATACCAGCAGGGACACATGCACACTGTGGGTGTGTGCGGCGGTGGGGTGTGTGTGTGTGTAACATGAGTGTGCATGTCTGTTTTTTGAGTAGGAGTTACAAAGGGGGCTATGGATGTTTTATACTTCCAGAAATACGACATGCTTTCCGAAATATAGACAGTCACAAAATACACATATTGATGGGGCATGAAATATTCATTGAACATTTCAGAGGGCCATCAAAATGGTACCCTACATAATTTGTCTTCACTAATCATATTATTTTGCTTACAAAAAGTAACATGTACTTATAGTATGACCCAGAAATTCCAATCCCAGAGAAAAGGAAGGCAGTGTGTCCCAAGAAGTAGACTTGATAACAATGTTTATGGGCGCTTTTATTCACAACAGCACATGAGATGGCAATAAGGAATGTTGTCCATCAATAAGAGAAATGGATAAAGAAACCGTTGGTATCCTCATTAACACAATAGGATACTC